TGAGATGTTCGTGATTTCCTGTCCGCCTTTTCCGGATCGTCCTTTAACGTAATAGCACATGTTTTCGATCGGAATAGGGTCGGTTGAACTTTCAGGCCATAACTAAAGCTCACTACCTTAGGTTGTGAACACCTTAAAACCACACTTTTCCATATAACATGTACATAATTTCCGTTCGACAATGACCCTCGTACTCGGGGCAGTATTTTCGTCTAATTTATCTCAATGTATATTCGTTTCCTTTCTATAAGCATGTTGACGAACGGTAGGGCTATTGCATCGTGGATTGAAGTCGCGGCGCACGTCTCTATTTTGTCCGTATGTTCGGTCAGCCGGATTAAAGAGTACCCACGAGATCTTCGGCCAGAGCGCCTGCAGGCGCGTTTACTATTACCATCCAAAATCACAAAATAGGATTCATCTGAAGAATAAATCTTATCCTAGATTTCAACTGTCCCACATGGGAATTATTTAGCCTACTTAAAGAAGCATATTTATATAGAAAGCCTGGTTTGCAGCAATTGAAACGATTCATTTTAGACCATTCTTATGAATATTAACTGTACATTTCGATCCTCTATGACGCAGTTGAGGCACCGTTAGAAATCAAGCATTTTTCTATTTTGATCCTTTCCTCTTTACCCTGAGGACTACGTTATCCTCTGCATATTTCGAAATTCTTCCGCGTTCACTTTCTCGTATCGATCTAGCTATTAGGGTCTGCTGCTCTTCCATGAAATATTTTCGTAATCTTATTACGAGTTTACTGATGGTCACAAAAGTAAGAAAATCGCTTTAAAACTACTTGTGGTTATGACCACTTTACTATCATCAAATAGATGGGATTAAGAGTAATTGCCAAACGATAATTGATAAATTATCTCGTTTTCGATTTTTGTTCCCTCATGGACGGAAGAAGACGAAATGAGCTACACATGTTGTAGAATAGAGCTATTGCAGCACACTTCTTAGTGCTTTTCTTCCATAGGAGCTTAAAAATACCTTTTGATAATTTTTATCATATGTGCTATAAGTAGTACAAAGAGGCAGCTTTCATACGAGCGTTTATATTGTTATTATAGTTGCGGAGGTGCATAGCGTCTCCGATTCTACAGTGTTCTAAATGGCCATATGTGACTGTAAACGTTTCAGTGCAGATCAAGTATAGGAGAAAAAGATATCGCCTATCTTAATCAGACTAACCGCCGTAACTTAGTGATCTTATAAGTTTGGTAAAATCAATTCCAATCATTTCCTGCTAATTAAAAGAAGCACAAAATATCAACCTTAACTGAGGGGAGAAATCAATCACTACGCATAAGATATACGCGCCAAACCCCTTAGCTTTCGCGTAACAGGCTAAATGTTGTGTATGATCAACTATGATAGACCGGTAAATATAGAAAATGTAGACATTTCGATATACCATTTTTAGCTACGGGTATTTTTTTAGGATGTACTGAATTCTTTCATTTAAATGATACTTGCAATCTAGTAACGAGATTTGAAATTAACTACGCCAGCATGTTCAAAGTGCTGAAATTTTAAGTGTCCGTTCATCCCATTAGATTTAACTGAGATACATGAGCTGGATGGCTGGCATTGGTCCGCTGAGCTTAGTTTCGCCACGAAATAAATTTGGAGAGTACTTCACTGAAATACTACAAGGGCCGCTGTCTGATACATTCTATCCCGAAGAATTAAAAGACTTAACGACGATGAGATGTGAGTAACCTATCGTTGCTTGCAAGTCATTTGGACAAAGCTGGCATAAGACGCGTCTGCAATAAAGCGAGCGCGTTGATCCACAGCTCCTCAACTTTACATTGTATAGAGAATGACTCTCAGGCAAAATGCATACATGGAGATACATTTCTGTCCTAATCCAATCTAACTGTGAGAGGTAGAACCTGCCCGGCGATTTAAGCGCACGCTGTTGATGCTCAGTCCATGATGACCCTAATTGGCCTTTGTCTGCATTTCTACGGTCGATTTCCTTCTTGTGTGTACGGCGCGTGCAGTGTCAGATCACTTGAAAGGAGAGAGTGACCTCAGCTGTTGAGGATCAACGAGGATTAGGATCCAACACCCATCCCCTTCATCCCGAGACGGGAGAGCTAAAGACGCCTAACGTCACGCCTGCTGGTATAGCAATAGGCTGTTGCTGCGTTGCTTCTCAGCTTATCTTTACCGTTAACTGTAGCGAAAGACAGGGGGCAACAAAAGAGAGAAAAAAAAAATAGCAACATCTTATGGTATCTCTGAAGTTAGGACCAGACATGAGTGGCAAAGAAAGCTAGGTAGCGACTGTAACTGCTTACAGGGAAAAAGTGGCCATTAGAAGAAATTGGCATTACGCAGATAGCACCACACAAAGATCGAGGAACTCATCATCTTTGCTGCTTCGTCCTACAACCGATTCGTTGACGATTTATGATCGATACTAACGAGGATACTAGTCAGGATGTTTATATTGGGAAAGCAAATAGACAGCCGAATGAGTGGAGTGCTGGCTCCAGCTTGAGCTGGTCCTAATTCGTGCTTTTTAATATTGGCAAGTCTGAAGTACCGAACAATAGTGGATGTATCCGTATCGCCAAATCTTCGATTGTGTCTCCAGGCCAAAACGAGTGTCTCATTCTCTTTCTCTGTCTGTCTGTCTCCCTCATTCTCTAAATCTTTGGTTGCCTTCCACCGGTCAGCGTTGTGAAACTGTCTCAGCGTGTCGTCTGCAGGAGGACTCCATACCAATCTGATCTATTTCTTAGTCGCTGTTCACAGTATATATATGGGCGATTATCCAGTACCATTGGCGTTAGCATTCCGGTTGCTGGCGAGAGAGACTGGTCGGCACTGAACCGAGGGGTGTCATTATTTTGGGTACTCATTGATCGAATTGGCACCCTGACACCCCTTCGACGACAGTCGACAGTCGGTGTAATGAAATCGCGAAAAGCTGCGTTAGACCTTGAGTACTCATCTTAGTAGGTACAACTTTCCAAGCAAGTCAAATCATCTTAATCTTAGGAGGGTATGAGTCTGTTCCACAGGCGGAGTCTTCACACAGTTTGCATTGTCGATGCCCTCGGCTAGTCAATGAAGTGCTTGTTTGTGCGGCTGTTATGAATGACATTCGATATCACCAGTGACTACACTCTTTTCATAAATTAAGCGACATTATTTACCATCGTGGTGGCATCCCTATAGCCATGGAATAGACAACGATCTGTTTTCGATATCCTTATACATTGATTTTTGAAGGCGTGTGTCCTAAACTACTAGAGTTAGCTTAATAACGGTTTACTACCTTTTTGGATATGGCTGATCTTTCGTGAGGAAATTCCATTCATTCTGCCATTGATGCACTCTGGTGCGTACGAAAAACCGCTTCATATGCCTTTGCGTTTCTTATCGGCTCCATCGTACCGACTTGTTTCATATGACAGTATCAACAGCACACGATCATGATTATCGTCTAACCGTCGTCATCTGGCCTTACGCCGCTCCCATTGAATGGGCGCTGACATCCGGGAGCGGCGACCGTCAACGCGGGCTTTTGGAGTGGAGCGGAGCGCAGCGCAGTGGAGTGTCTGACAATAGTCGAGAAGCGCCAAAGACGCACGGACTGATAGCCATGATAGCAAAGACTACCACTTCAACAACTAATAGAACGACTACAACCAGTCAGCAATAATCACATCGAACCTGTACTACTGCACAAAACGATGTTCTCTGTGATCCCCAGCGTGCTCGTTCTATGAATAGGCATTCATTCATCCATTGGCCTATCTTTATTTAAGCGTACGAGTGTCTATGTGTGCACGCATCAAACCGCGCAGAACTGGTCACCTCGATTTACTGGTACTGCAGATCGAGCCTTGGTAGCTCCAACACCAGGGAGACGTCCTGCACCTCGCGAGCAGCTAACAAATCCAGAATCCCAGAAGAAAAGGCCGTGCAGTCGCTCGACGATTAGACAGGGATCCAACAGACCGACCGACCCACGGGCAGACAAGTCGTCCAAAAAGATCCGTTGACGTAACGGTAAATTAAATGTGCCGTTTCATCCCCCCCCCCCCCCAGATGGCAAATCGAGAAATAAGGATAGGAGGTGGTTAACGGTGTACACTGACGAGTGAAGCACTGGCGCTCCAAAGCGCTCTAGTCCCTTTTGTTTCGTTGGGCCCAACCAACTGAGCGAACGACTCACCAGACGCTCGTCCGGCGCCGGCTGCTTCTTGTCTGAGCTTTAGCGGTATATTTCTCTAGAAGCGAGACGTTCGCTCACCTACACGCGTATACATGGGAATAAAAACAATGGATACATGACACAGAGGCTTACACCGGGAGGTAGTCGCTCGGCACCGAGTAGTTGTTGCGTGATAATTCTGTCGACAATGACAAGCCAATGACGGGAAACTGCCGGCAGAGTCACGACCGAACGACTCACTGGTGCACTGGGTCGGAGCGCCAGCTACACCCCCAACACGTATTAAGCACTACAGCCGTACGGAAGGTCCACTTGGAGGTTTAGCTTAGTGCATTGTCGGCAAAGCTGACGGGGTAGTCCTGACCGCGAACCGGCTACATCAGCTCATCGGAATCGAGTGCGTGATGGAGAGAGCCCACCAAAAATCAGCACGCGAAGCCTTCAACAACTAACTTTTCTAGCGAATTTTTATGTCATGACAATTCTACGTACAAAAATCACTGACGCACCGCGCACTTTATCGTAAAAGATGATTCACAGACAGTTTGAAACAAAGCCGCCAGCACTTCGAATTTCACACAAACTGATGAACGATGTCACACACAAGATCACTACTCGTTACTGCACGATAATCATATGACCCGAATCACCTCACGAGATGCCTCACAAATTACACTTCAAATATATGAATTAGGTTCAATATGTTTGTCAGTCGCAAAATCAACAATAAATCTATATTAGATGTAATCTCTTAGGGTGCTAATAGTGGTTACAGTTGCAGATCACCTACCTGCGAGTCTGAGAGCTGACATCCGTTGAAACTCGGGTTCCTCGAGCCATTTGTACATTCTCCGGAACGTTTCGCGACCAGACTTGAGTTTGCTCCACGGCTTCGGATTTCTGAGCAGGTCTGAGAGCGTCCCCTGCGATCGACAGAGAACCCTCTGGGCAAAAATTGCTTGCGGTATACTGTAGCGTTTAAGTTCGGCACTGATTCGCTGTGCCAATTCTTTCGTGTTGATTTCTTCCACCTCGTCAGCGGAAGACGCTGAAGAGCTGGTGCTATGACTCTGTTTTTGTGTCGGGACGCCTAGGCCACCAGGCACGCCACCCTTGTTACTTGCACCCAAGGCAGTGGGCGATGGTGCAGGGGCTGAATTTGCCACCCCTACGGATAACCCCGTTGCGCCGGTTACCTGTGTCATTGACCTAGGCAAACTGGCCGGTGGTGTAGAGCTGCCCGTGACAGAAGTAATGCTGGTGGCTGTGAAAGGTTTGACATCTTGGTGAGGTGGCGTGGCTGGTGCCGCAAGGTTTGCGGAAGGCGGCGTATGAGCTGATAACCCATTGAGGCCGCCCAGACCGTTCAGTCCGGCCAGCATCGTTGGCGAATGCAATGCCACCGACGAAGTGGGCGATTGCGGCGAACCTAACCGCGCAAGCTCTCGACTTGCATGAGAGTAAGATTCGTATGACGACAAACCCTTATCCGTTAACTGTGGAGACGCCATACCGCTACTTCCGCCACCGGCACCGTTTTGCGAATACGGTGGCGACGGTATAGCTGCATTGGCATGTCCAAGCATCGGCGCCTGTCCGTGGCTACTTGGGGGGCTAACGCTGCCCACGTTAATGCCGCCCATGGGGCCCAGCTTGTCGTAGCCGCCCATGGGATAGCTGCCCATACCCATAGCGGGCATTAGTGACGAAAATCCAGCATTGGGATGTGGATGCCCATAATGCGAAAATTTATCCGACATGGTAGAAATGGGCGGCAGCGGCTGCAACGGCGTCAGGGTGGCATAACTGGATGCGTTTGAGGCGAAACTACCCCCGGGAGACATACGCCCGCTCGGATGATAACCATCGCCCAACCCGGCGCGGAATTCACTTGTGTCGATCATCGCGCTTGGGTCTTCCGGATCCTCGACGGGATGTGAAGGCTCCTGATGTTCCTGATCTTGCGGGTCACAGGGGTGGCAGGGCCGTTCTGGGGAGCCCGCATCACCCGAGGAGACCGAGGGGGGCGACAGAAGCTCTGGCTCGAGAGCCTGAAGTGCCGCTTCGCCAGCGAGCGGGGCCACCGGGCCCTCCGCTGCTGCTGCTACTACTGCTAGTGCCGCTTTTTCTCCTTCTTGGTGATGGCCTCCTTTTCTTCTTAGTTTTTTTCCGCCCTCTTCGATTTGTTGTGCGATTGCTGCTGCAGCTGCGGCGGCGACCTCTGCGGGGACGTTTTCAGTTACCAGACCCGGCCGCCTTGTTCGTGCTCCTGCTGGTGTCGGCGTTGAAAGCACTCGACCCGGTACTACCGCTGACGCCTCGGTGGCTCTGCTAAGATGTCCTGACAGTGATACCGAAGGGTTCGATGACGTCAATTTGTTCTCAGATATGCCAGGCGTCTGGTTAGTGGCGTTGATAGTTGTTGTTCGCGCACGACCTCCTCTAATCCTTCCCTCGACGCAAATCAGCTGTGAGCTGTGTTCACCAGACGTCACTAGCGTCGCGTGTGCGCGTAAACGATTTCTGACAGCAGCAGGAGCAACAGCAGTACTATCGATGCTACTGCAGGCAGTACTCAAATTGTCTTGATCGTTGCTGCTACTGCTGCTATCGCGTTGTTGTTGTTGTTGTCGATCCGCTGTTGTTGTTGTTGTTGCTACTGTCGCCGATACGACGACTGGCCTCGTGGTTGCTGTCGCTTGGCGTCGGTTCGAGGAGCTCTGGCTCGGCCGGATCTCCTGCTTGTTCTGCCTGCCTTGTCGGTTGTTCGGTGGGCCGGTCGCCGGCAGCGCCACCACGACGGAGCCCCTAAGCGTAGCTCCGCCCAAATATAGGTCCGCGGGAGGCGGTAACAACTGCTCGTCGCTCACGTCGGGGCCAGGGGGCGCGGCAAGCGCTCGCACTTCGGCCACAGCCTGAACGAGGGAAAGAGGAATGCTGGTAGACAGCATAGAGGGTAGGGAAGAAATTGCAGCCAGGTCGGGCCCTCCTCGAGGGGAGTCCAATACCTCTCCGCCTTCTCCAACCCCTGCTTCGATCCCTACCATTCTATCCAACAGCAGTCCATCCTCTCCCGCGTCATTGGCTTCTACTCCCTCAACTCCCATTCCTAGAACTTCCATATCCCCACGAGTCGGTCCCCCTGCCGTAGTATCGGTATTGCCCTCACCCTCAAGGGGACCATCTACCCTCTCCAGAACTACCTCCCCCGAAGACTCCACAACGATATTGTCACCCTCGCATGCAGCGTCGACAATCGGCTCGGAGCCGACCTCCTCGTCGGACGGCTCGTCATTGTCCAACGGTTCGAGTGCTCCCAGACTTGTTGTGGTCGTGTGCATTCCATGCATTACATTACCGGCATTCAGAACGGGTCGTAGACGCACGGGGGATGCTGGCGGTCGATCGGAGGTGCAGTTTCCTGTCGCCACGATTTGTGTCGAGACCTCAGTGTGCTCTTCAGTTGCTGATGGGACGGACTGTTGACGGGTCCTACTCTCGATCAACGGAGCTTCTGCTGTTATCGCTGCCACTGTTGTTGTTGTTGTTGTTGTTAGCGCCGTTGCTGTTGTCGTAGCAGAGGATACAGCTAAGGTCGCTGCTGAAGTATTTGTTGATGTTATTGTTGTTGCTGCTACTGCTGGTGTTGACGTTGTAGCTTGTTGAAAAACTGCCTGCAGATCAGCTGCAGACAGCACGCTCAGCACGTTCGCCGCAGGCGATATGAGGGTGTTCTGCAGGCCACCCACACCGACAGGGGCAGATGTCAACAACAGAACAAGGGTGGGTGGTTGACCGTCGCATGAGGCCACTACAAGCGGCTGTAGCTGCCGTAACATGATTGCAGTTGCTGAAGTAGTGTTAGCGGTAATCGCGATACAAATAGTGCAGCAATGATAGTAGTACTGCTACGAGACACCAGCTCCGGTTATGGTGGTAACAAAATCAACACTTGTAGACATCAGCCGAATCGTATATGGGGGACGCTCTTTTCCGATCGTTTCACTGCTCGCTTGTTCCATACCATTCCAGTGGTTTCATTAAAAGTTATGGGTGCTGTTGTTAACAAGGGAGAGAGGGGGAGGGGGGTGGCGGAAACTGTGGACCAGAGGTAGTGACGACCAGATCGAAGGCGGCCTCGGGGCCGTCCTTACCCCGAACACCGCCTGCCAGTCACTTACAGACGGCATCCACGTCCACCACTTATCACCACAGTGGCCACAATCTAATTCTTGATCACTGCATAATTGTTCACTCAATCACACGCAATCATTCCTGGCAGAGTTAATTAGGAACAACAGTCACCGTCACCAAAACAACACACACACACAACTACGGTTCACGGTATTCACGTCATCGTCACAGAACCATCGTTCGATTCCCTCTCTGCAGCTATTGTCAATGACCGGGTTATGTCACTGACAACGTAACAGATGCAAAACGCACCAGTTGGACGCACCAAAAGCGTTAGACACATAGATACAACATAACGCCCACTCTTACCAGTCACAATTTACCTATTGATTTATTTATATTGTTCAGTGTATTGTGGTCAGCATCATCGACCATCAGCAGATCGCCATCTTGTTTTGGAGCTCGCGTTCTCCGGGCGCAGACTCCAAGAGCAGGCGGGAGCATGCGCACTATCGCGCGTTCCCAATGGGGTGCCGCAACTTAACTGAGATAGGTCAGGAGGCGTTAAGCATCAGAAGAACGCCAGTTAGCTCGGCTTGGGAAGCTCGCGCACCCAGGAGTTGTTGCACGCAATTTAACTAGAAGACTCTCAGTTATACGTTGATCGTCCATATAACAACCACTATCGTATTATAACCGCTGCTGCTACTGGCCACTTATGAACACCGACCGCAAATCAACAGAATCCTGCTCTTAACTGCAGTTTATTGTTGTGTACGACTTAAGTCAGCTCCGAAGTTCCTGTAGGTCGTTTGCTTGATGACAATTTGACATACGTTGTGGCGAGCTAGCGTTTCATTAGACAATATTTCATTAGACAAAATGTTGTGTACTTAACCTATGAGATATAGGATGTTTTCTGTTTACTGTTATGAATGGGCTTGTATATGTTTCTATAACAGGAACTTCATTCATATGCAGGTCGTTGTTAGGTTGAGGAAATCTAGATAACAGTATCCTTTGATGGCTGCTTTGCACTTCGAAGACGGCATTAAAGCCCCCCAACCAGGCGCTGGTACCAGTCATCGCGTTCATCGCAGCCACGGCATCCTCTCTGAAATCGGAAGAACAGTAAATTTTAACCCATGTCCTCCTGATCCTTTTCCTCCACTCGTATGTTCCGACCCTTCAAATATAAACACCATAACATTTACTACAAAACATTTACATATGCCTATTTTCTATAAGCATATATATTCTTCATCCCTATGTAACATATACTTCCAGAGTCTAAAGAAGTATAAAATTACGAAACATTTGCGTTCCACATAATTCGGGCATCGAGGTGCAATCTTATGTTTTAATAATAACGATAAAGTTTTACGAATGGGGACCTTAATGTAACCCCACACTCTATTCTAATCCAATCGATGACTGATTTCCGTCTAGCATATGTCTATCTGAAAATTGTGAGAAATTTCAATAGACGTATCGAGCCACCAGTGAACCGAAGGTCTTCTTTCTCCCTCACACCTGATCTGCCTATTACCCATTCGTACACACGCGAGTACGTCAGACGGACAGGCACATACCAGCCGCTACACGATCATGAGTTACCGTTACGAGAAGCGCCTGAAGCCGGAGGCACGTGCTTCATGTTGTAGTCAACTGTCGTACGTAGAACGGGGCTGAAGTTTCGGTTGCTGCCCAACCCTGCGCTAAGGGGCACTCTCTCAATCGGACGGCAAAGGGGAGGTCCGTGGATCGATTGCCCCCGACTCCGCCCCCAAGAAGAGCGCACGCCTATCGATCCCTCAGCAGGAGCAAAGCAACGCAGAGCAGAGCAAGGGTTCCTTGCCGAGTTGTGTTCAGATCCTCTCTCCCTTAGTACATTGGTGTAGCTCCATTGTCGCCGCTGCAGGCCACAAACACGCGGACCACTGTCGTTCCGTCCCGTTTGTTCCCCCTTTTCATACATCAGCCCCCTTCGCTGTGCCAACCATTTTCTTGGGACAATGGTGTTATTGGCCGGGCCGCATTTGAACTGCTAAGCTGCAGGCTGCAACGCGAACCCGTTCGGCTGAAGTAAATCTGTGTAAGTCTAAGGTGTATTCGGGTATGCCTTTGCACCTATGGATGTTAGCGTATTTATGTGGCTGTCCGCAGTAACCATACAGATGCTATATGACGTTGAATCCGTGACGCTTGACAGTCACTGAAGGCCTCATAAATAACGTGCTTTTCTGTTTCGTCGGTCCAGTAATCATACTTCTCATACTTCCGTACAATAGATAATCGTATTTACGCTAAGACATGCTGCATTATGAACCGTAAATCGCGTATATTGTTTACCGCAAACTTCTAGCTATACAGAGCCTGCTGCGAAATTAATTAAAAGTTGCACAGAGCTCCATAGCATATATCAGCAAATGCCTAGAAAGAGTCAAAGAAGCTGCTTTTCCCTGCCATTTTGGATTTTTTTAACGAAGTTTCATTACCTTCCCCCCTCCCCCTCCCCCTCCCCCTCCCCCTCCCACTGTAAGCTGTGTTCTGCACGCAGAACAACGGCTACCTTAACAACACAGTGTTTAGGATATTGATCGTCTTTTCTACACCATTGTCTACTTCTACAGGCACCATACTACTTCTACCATATATATCCATTTATGAAATGCCTCTTATTATTATATAAAATAACTTTAATCGTCGACGTTGGACAATCCATGTATGTTCATATTTTTATATGTGTAAGAGAATTCATAACATTGGATTTTAGGCGATCGACTTTTTTTTCTGATTATGAGCAAATTACTCTTGCCATACTTAGTACGTAACTGGCTGCGCTGTTATATCTTAATAATTACGATAGATATTCGTTTGCTAATTAAAAGTAGTAGTCTATGCAGATACCAGTCCCTCTAGTGCACTACATCATGTTTCGTATACCTATAAAAAAAAAAAACTAAAAGTTTTTTTTTTTTTCACTATAAACTGTAACAAATCCTATTTATCTCATTATATATTGATATAGTTGACTAAATTCCTTCTTAAATTAACGTTCACTTAGTAATATATGACTCTTTATATTTTGTTTGCTTCGTAATCGCTTATTTCTTAACAGCTAGTTAAAGTCAACAACCAGACGTCCTTTAAAACCTCCAATTTTCGTTCCCTCAAACCTCGAAAATAGCTCGAAAGCAGAAAACATGTTGCGATGTTATCACCGACCCCCTCTAAGCACCCTAGCATCGTTACTACAAAAGACAACCTGCCAACTCACTTTATTTGTTTAGGAGGTTTTGAACGAAAGACTCCATTGAGTCTCCTGTCCGAAAGCAACAGGAAATTCTTGATGAGTCTAACCTTGCTGATGGGATGCTCTAACATTTCGTTCCCTACACTCCTCAGCGATATGACCTATTTTGTACCGTACTCATACCACGAGTTCCGCTCTATCACCATACGTCTATTGTATAAATGACAGCCAACGGATTTCTCCCAGAAGCTGATCACTAGAATCACACAGTCATTATTACAATTAGTATCTATACCACAACTGCTGTTAGAGTCAGGTTTTTTAAGTATCATAGTCGCAAATTCTGCTGACGCGGCCCTTTGGTGCCGACATAAGCATTCGGTACGGTGGCGTGACGTTGACGGCGTGATGACCGCCACGGCTACACCAACAGCATTGATACGAACCTTGCCGATTATGACGTCCTTGGTCGTCTTCATCTATAGCTAACATTGTCGCCCACTCACGGACGTCTTTCTCTATCCCGAAAAGGTTCCCAAGTATATTTCCCTATGCTCATTGCCCATCGTTATTGCTGTCGCTATATGGCCGCTGCACGAACGAACTCGACAAGCAACAGATGAGTAAGTGAGGCTGGCCGTTGCCTGGTGGTGCTCAATGGAATTCCATAACGGATATCGGGCTATCGAGCCGATCGATCAACAACTACCCTAGTCCCCACACAGACAATTCATCCCATCGCTCCCAAACGTTACTGTCGACCCTTTTTCTGTATGCCCCCCGCCACCCAATGTAACTGGAGGAACAGTTCAAAGCTGGCAGGCTGGCAGACAAAGCAAGTCCTACCCTATTCGGTACACTCCCTACCTCTGATCTGTCTTCAATCCTCTATTGTACCTTACCGTCCCCTTGTCTCCATTTTACCTTTTTCATATCCATGTCCTTCCTAGGTCTCTGATGCGAGAGACGACACTTGTAGCCGGCTTTTTGTTTGTTGTCGGTGTGCATAAAAGCCATCGTTGTTTGATATATGTAAAATAATTTTTTTATGTAGTATAACGGGATGCCGGAATCGGTTTGCACCAACGTAAGCTCACGCGACAATCGAAGAACATACAAAACTTTATACGGCTTCAGGCCGTCCACCCTAGCCGTCCTTACCAATGATAAATACAGATCCTGCAAAGTCTCTGGCAAACTTCAGAGCTGACAATTTTCCATTCCAATTCGCAAGTCTATCTTTAAGATCTTGGATTATCTAGCATCATTAGCAGATGTCTAAATCGACACGGCATCTCTAAAAAAAAGGAAACATAACACCGGACGCATCTGAGAGATTGAACGCCCTGACAAAAAATATTGTATTTGCGTTACTCGTCAATACGGTGCCGTTCCAGAAAGTGCGTGTAGACATACTGTGGATACATTATTAGCAATAGGGTCCTACGAGGCGGCCTCGAGCGTTTTGTGCCAAGGCCTAAATGTAGTATTTTTTACATTAAAATGCGATAAACTTTATTTTTTGCAGAGATCAGGAAAGCGTAAATAATATGGTAGCTAGAAAGTGATCCCTCTGACTAAGCCACTCCCTCGCGACATACGAGACCTAGATACACAAACGAATAGATAATATCGTTAAATATAAATAAATACGAAAAGGTGATTGGTCTGAGGCCGTCAGTTATTATTATATGATATATAACCGTAAATCGTCAAAAACTTAGCGTTCGAGGTCGGATCGATGCTTCTTGTCAAAGAATAAAAGCTGTGTATGTAAGCATACCAGTGCTACCCGTGCGTGCAAGTATATGCACGCGCATACAAAGGAACTGCTCAGTAATCGCTGTTATATCAACCTCATGAGCGCGAAATCATCAAGTGCGCATAACAGTGATATAGAAACCGCCCATTTTTTTTTTTTTATTACGATTTATTTCGCCATAAGAAACCCTGTGTGCTATTTTAGTCGAATAGTAAAGCTTGAATGTTTTGTAATGCCGATGCTTACTGGTACAGTACGAGTGTCCGTAAAGGACCGAACCGTGAGTCAAAAGTAGCGAAATGGGGAAGTTTAACCCAATCGTTCCCAGAGCAGCTGGTTTCCTGAGTTCCGCGATGGCGACCCGCGATACGTTCGCCGAGGTTTACCTTATATAATAAACTAAATACATTCGAACGTAATGGTCCCATTATTAGTAAACCCTTTGTCGATAACGTATTTGCCACTCCTCTGTAACTGCGATAAACTCAAATATATCAAAGTTTTACCATTGCCTAATTTACTTTTTCCTGCTTGAAGCATCCTAAAAGCTCGCGCTTCTCTTGAATAAAACCCATGTTACAGTTCTGGTGCAATACTCGAACAACACTTAGTGGATGCTGTGTAGATATTTCCATCCAGACTCTACTTTGTTTAAGTTGCTTATAATTTTGTGTAAAGCTTCCTGTACCTTCCTGTTCCTTCTTCGTTTACCTTTTGCGTGGAATGCATTGTGGGTTTAGACATACGGTTGGTTAGAATGAACGCCAGATTATTTCTTGGCGTCTGAAACGTCCGTCTGTGCTGACTGCTATTGGCATCGCCCATCATTACAATGGTAAGTTTATAAAAAGATAGATAAGAGAGCAGAAAAATCATTCAGTATAGTTCAACAAGCAGATGTGCCTTTTTGGAACCCGTGGTTTTGAACTAATCCGTTCACAGCGTTAGCAGCGACGAGAGTCCTACAAACATCGTCAAGCATTGCGTTACTCTACCTCAGTGTTCGCTGGATGAGCTT